TAATGATAAATAAACACGCAGGCCTTCAGCGCCAACTGTCAAATCTTATCTCAAATAAATAAAGACACTGTCACCTCACCTCCCCCCCCTTTTCTCACACTCGGCTGGCTACCTCCCTCGTGTTCCCAGACAAAAGATTGGTGATTTCTTTATGTTTATTTTATATAATATCTCGGACTAAAGTTAGGATAATATAATTTACATTGCTGAAATCCTTGCAAGACAGAGATTAATTTAAATATAAGCGTCATATATTTTGCTCAAGATATAAAAAATGTAGTACATTAGTGTACAATACTGTAGTACATTTTATAAAAAGTTTTTCAACTGTATTTTTTGGGTAGATTTACATAAATTTCTTCATTTATTTTCATCCATTTACATGCACACACCATACTAAAAGAAACGTAAAAGAAATAAATGACCTTAGTGCAAAGCTGGAGTGCACATGTACTAATTTGATTACGGTACTAAAATTGTTATGTCTACTGCGAATTACAACATTTTTATATTCAAATAAATCAGTATCTTACAAGAATCCCAACAATGTTAATTATATTCTCCTAGGTCATATCACTGGCATTTTAAAATGAGAGAAGCTTAGTAGGACTGTTAAATAGACACACAGAGGCCTTCGGCTCAAACTTGTCACCTCAACCCCCCACCCCTCGCTGGCTCCATCCCTCCCTCCCTCCCTCCCTCCCTAATCTGCTCAGCCGGGGGTTTATTTAGGCTTACAGTTTTTATCTTACATAATATCTCAGACTAAAGTTTGGAGATTATAATATGCATTACTGGAATCCTTGCAAGACAGCCAATAATTTGAATATAAATGTCATATATTTTGCTCAAGAGATAAAAAAATTTGTACATTAGTGTACAGTACTGTAGTACATTTATAATATAAATTTTTTCAACTGCATTTTTGGGTAGATTTACATCAATTTCTTCATTTATTTTCATCCATTTACATGCACACACCATACTAAAAGAAACGTAAAAGAAATAAATGACCTTAGTGCAAAGCTGGAGTGCACATGTACTAATTTGATTACGGTACTAAAATTGTTATGTCTAGCGCAAATTATAGCATGTTTATATTCAAATTAATCAGTATCTTACAAGAATCCCAACAATGTTAATTATATTCACCCAGGTCATGTCACTGGCTTTTTATAAGAGAGAAGCTTAGTCACTAAGAACTGATAAATATACAGGTACACGCGTTAGACCTTGGGCCGGTGCCAACTGTCAAACGTACTACCTCCCTTCCCCCCAAGCCCCATCCCTCCCTCCCTCCCTCCCTCCCTCTCCCCCAACTGCCCAGCATTGCTGGAATCCTTGTAAAACAGTGAATAATTTTAATATAAACGTCACGTATTTTGCACAAGAGATAAAAATTAATCACCTGTATCACATTACAGTAGTGATTTAAGAGTAAAAGTGTATATGTACATATACGTCCATTTCGGTTAACGTCACGTTTCGAAGAACGTATCTAGGATGTTAACCGGCGCATGACTGTACAGTCGGCCCTTAACATTCGCGGGGGTTAGGTAACAGAGATACCCGTGAATGTTAAAAATCCGTGTACTATTGCTGCCCCCCCCCCCTAAAAAATCCCTGGCCCCCCATGTCCTTATTTACCGTATATACATGTGTGTAGTTCGAGCTTTTAAGACCAAATTATTTGGCAAAAATTGGGGGTCGACCTCTAAACGGGTAATAGTTTCGTTAGGTTGAAAAATATTTACCAGTAACTACCAGTAAACAATGGAAACGATGCACCAACACACCACCAGTTGTTAGTGTCGGTACAGTTGCCAGGGCAGATCTCTTGTGAGCCCAAAGTAGCCAAATCCATGGTATGGTAGCACAGGACGATGTAAAACAAAGTATTCATTTATTAAAGTTAATTTATAGATACTGGACATAAATTTTTGTTCATTACATTTGAAACATCAATCTTTGTTAATTAAATTTGAAACGAGAAAACTACGATACTGGATTTTCATTAAAATATTACATCACAAGTATATTTTACCTTAACTGTGACTGAATGAATATATTCTCGGAAATAAATATGGAAATGTAATATTTTTGCTGGAATGACGTACATATTATAGTGGGAAGTGGGATAAAATCTTGACGAAAGACTTTTGCTTTCTTTCTTTGTTCAAAATATTTTACCGTAATCGCTTTTCGAATGGTTTTCAGTTATAAAACTGTTGTACTCGTACTGTATTACAATAATATTCAATCCTATCATTAGCTTTATAATCCCACAACTGAAAACCATTCGAAAAGCGATTACGGTAACATCTTTTGAACGAAAGAAAGCGAAAGTCATTGCTTTCGTCACTTTCCACTGTAATACGTACATCATTTCAGCAAAAATATTACATTTCCATGTTCTCAGAAATAAATGGTAGTTTTGTTGAAACGTAATGTACAGTATTTAACATTAAAATGCAAAAATAGCTATAAAAACAATTAATACACCCGTAATGTACTGGCTGGCATCTCCACTCGTCCCTGCTCCCGCCAGTCACCTCCTCCCCGCTCTATCCCTCCGCCTCCTCCACATCGTCACTACTGTTGTATTACAATAATATTCTATCCTAATTGACTTGAATAAATACTACGATACCATATTTCTGAATATTTTCATTAAAATCCATCCAAATCATTTTCCTTGCCATCGTCTGCAGCACCAAACAGCTTCTCCCAGTCCTCTCCTTGAACAGGGCTAGAGGGTACGTGTTTTTCGAATCGTTTTCAATTAAAAAAATGTTACATCACACGTATATTTTACCTAAACTGCGCCTGAATGAATATATTCTTGGAAATAAATAGTAATTTTGCTGAAACGTGATGTATTTCAATGTAAAATAGGATAAAATACATGACGAAAACAAAAGACTTCACCTAACCTTCCAATGTTCAAGAGATGTTACTCGTTTTTTTAATAGTTTTCGGTTAAAATACTGTTATATTACAATGATATTATATTCATACTGTGCTTGATATACTACATTCACAGAAATGAAATATTTTTGCTGAAATGACGTAAGTATTACAGTGGAATGTGGGACAAAATCGTGACGAAAACAATGACTTTCGCTTTCTTTCGTTCAAAAGATGTTACCGTAATCGCTTTTCGAATGGTTTTCAGTTAAAAAACTGTTGCATCACAAGTGAATTAGGATAGAATATTATTGTAATACAACAGTTTTTTAACTGAAAACCATTCGAAAAGCGATTACGGTAACATCTTTTGAGCGAAAGAAAGCGAGTCATTGCTTTCGTCACTTTCCACTGTAATACGTACGTCATTTCAGTAAAATATTACATTTCCATATTCTCAGAAATAAATAGTACTTTTGCTGAAACGTGATGTATTTCAATGTAAATTAGGATAAAATACATGACGAAAACAAGAGACTTTACCTAACCTTCCGATGTTCAAGAGATGTTACTCGTTTTTTCAGTATTTTTCGGTTAAAATACTCTTATATTAGTGATATTCTATTCATACTGTGCTTGATATAATATATTCATGGAAATGTAATATTTTTGCAACTACAATGCTGATGTCAACACAAGTGTGGTTACAGCGAGACTGACTGAGTGAGGGAGAGCTATGCGTGTGTGTGTGTGAGGTTGTGGGAGCGGTGGTGTCCCGTGTTCGGTGCCGCGCGCGAGTTGAATGGCGCGCGATTTGAATGTACTTCAATTACTTCAATGTACAGAATATTCCTCTGGCGGGGCAATCCGCGTATTTGCGAATCCGTGAATGCTAAACCCGCGTATGTGAAGGGCCGACTGTATAAGCATTTCAAGGGGCACTACTCAGTTGAGTGTCCTTAATGGGAGCTGGTGGACGCTCGCCCCACAAGGGGTCACAGCTCAAGATTGAAGAAGCCGCAAGTCCAGAAAACTGTGAGGGCAAACTTTTTCGGAGTGAGGGTTGTGAACTCTTGGAACGATCTATCTGAAAGTGTTGTGATGGCACTGAGTGTGAGCTCTTTCAAGACAAGACTTGACCAACATTGGAGCAGGTTCAGGTACATTCAGGAGCCGGTGCATGCCATGTACTTGCCAGCAGTGCGTAACAGAGATGTGATCGAACGGCCAAGCGGCTAACGAGCCAATCATTTGGTGAAGAAGACAAAAGAAAAAGTAACAGAGACGTGACCGATCGCCCAAGTGGCTAACAAGCTGATCAGTGGTGAAGAGGATAAAAGTAAAAGTAAGTGTTTGTAATCTAGGTGTTTTGATTATTTTCTGTCCCAAGCAGCAGTTATATTGGCAAGGTTAGTGAGATTATCTTGTATGTTTTGATATATTACTTATATAAGATTATTCTAGAATGTATTGCATCATTTTTGTTGTGATTTACTTCTTATTGTAAGCCTCGATCAGAGTAGAACGTTCTAGAAGGTGCTTGAGGCGTCTGACAAAGCATATACAATATCTGTGGCAGTGAGTGGCCTCCAGTCAGTCGATTGTTTCTGCTCAGAGTGTCAAGAACAAGCCTAGTAGGAGAACTGAAGATAATTGTCATGCAAGTATTGTGGAATTGTTGTGATCTATATAAAAGTGAAAAGAGTAAGGCATTGTACTCTGGTAGTGTGCTGACTACATATATATTAGAAGTGTGAAGTCCAGCTGTGAAGTCATTACCCTGTGAGCAGTGTTGTGAAGAATTAGTGACTATTAAAGAAGACTACGGTGCACGAGTGTCTTTCTGTGACCTGGTGGAAATCTACCTGCCTGTTGTTTGTCTGTACACTGATACCGATCATCGGGATGACTGGCGGGACAGCCAGTGGTAATTCGACAACACTTGTAATATATTTACTCTTTCTGTACATACGACCCTGGCTACTGGTGGTGGAAGCTGGGTAAGCGGTGAAAGGAGGGTCGTAACGTCATTATTATTATTTTTACTTTCTCTAATTATTAAATAAAAGTACTAACTGACCCATTGTCAACAGGCTTCTCCCTTGGAATCCCTGACACTGTCATGGGTCTGACGCTTATTGCTGTTGGTGTGTCTGCTCCTGATGCTCTCTCCTCTCTCTGTGTGGCCAAACAAGGTGAGTGGTCAACACAATGTGTGGTCAGTATGGTAAGTGCCTCTTAGAATAAGTTGGTTAGTAGAGTAAGCGGTCATGAAATATATAGGAGTGATCATTGATTATGTTCGACATTAAAGGAGTTAACAGAACTTTGAAAATACAAAATTTATTATTGTGGAGCGAAGGTCAAGTTGAGACCTTAACCTTGTGTTGTGAACATTTAAATATAGTACCCAAGAAGGCTGGAATGGAATGTTGTGAACTGACATATAGACAGATAGAAAAAAAAAACTTTACTCAACAAAGGGTTGTGGCTTGTGATAGCTGAATGGAAATGGCACTTGCCTCCTGGGATATTCCTACTTCACACAACTGTAGTTTGCAATTGGGGAAACAAAAGTGGTCGAGTGCAGTGCCTACCATGCTGCTGCCTTTCGTACCAAATGTTTAATAAACAGTGCGGTTTATCCACAATGGGCATTTGTGACCCACTTTCATTCATGAAAGTGTGCAGCAGTATTTGTAAAAAGTTAAATAATTAATTCTTCTTACTCTTTCTTCCATCACACATTGGAGGGCTATATAGAATTAATGCACATGCTCTTCCCATGCAACAGGCTTTGGTGACATGGCAGTGAGCAATGCAATAGGGAGTAATGTGTTCGACATCCTGCTGTGTCTAGGTCTGCCATGGTTCCTGAAGACGGCCATCATCTACCCTGGCACTACAGTCCCCGTTGAGAGCAGAGGTAAAGTCTTGTGCTGCTTATACAAGTACAGTACAGGGGCCGCATACTGAAAACACCTCAGCATTTACGTACAGTAGCAGAGATACAGTACCATAACTTAAAGACTCCTTACAGTCCCGTAAATTTCCCATACTCAAAATTGACTTACGGGTTCCGTAAACAGTCAGTAACTCTAGTGTTTACCCTGTAAATTAAGTTCTTGTGTCCTAAGGTAGATGGCGTTGCAGGAGCTAGTTGGCCAATCGTCGCTCAGTTAACAAAATCATCAACCAATCACAAGAGGAGAAATCATCTAAGATCGACACATGTGATAGTTGCTATTCGTACTTCAAGCGTCATTAGTGAAGATGGAATTATGTTTGATTAAAACTTGAGGACAATGGTTAACTAATGACCAAAATAAGCCTATATATATATATGTATATAATATATATATATAATATATATATATATATATATATATATATATATATATATATATATATATATATATATATATATATATATATATATATATATATATATATATATATATATATATATATATATATATATATATATATATATATATATATGCAAGTAAATCACTGTAGGTGCTAACACATCTTCAGGGTGAGTACAGACTAGTACTCACCCCTGAAGATGTGAATTATAACTATATATATATATATATATATATATATATATATATATATATATATATATATATATATATATATATATATATATATATATATATATATATATATATATATATATATATATATATATATATATATATATATATATATATACATACATACATACATACATACATACATACAGTATTACCCCGCTTAACGCGGTTTCGCTTAGCGCGTTTTACCGTATACGCGGTGCCTCGCCAGAGCCGAACTTTCACTTAACGCGGGTTTTTTCCACGTATACGCGGTGAGTGTCCGGCTCGAGAGCTATTTTTAGATTCGCCCCACCCCCTACCCGCCACCCTGTCTGACTGCCTGTTTTAGCTCATAAAATTCATACAAATTACCCGGCCAGAATATAATTTACATTGCTGGAATTCTTACAATATGATGATCATTTTGAATATAAACATATAGATTTTGCATTAGACATACAAATTTTAGATATAATGTTTACTCTGAGTAAATATGTTATTTTTTGTGCATAATATATGACATTTGTATTCAAAATATTCCTGGGCTTACAAGGAATCCAGCAATGTCAATTATATTATCCTAACTTTAGTTTGAGGTATTATTTATTACTAAAAAGGTAAATATTCTGGTTTTCCCACATATCTGGTAGGGACGGTTGGTGGGGGGTGGGGGGGAGGGAAGGACCGACCGACCGACCGACCATCTGTTACCGTGTGAAGAATATATTTTTTTTTTTATTAACTGAAGATATTTGTTTTAGCTCATAAAATTCATACAAATTACCCGGTCAGAATATAATTTACATTGCTGGAATTCTTATAATTTGATGATCATTTTGAATATAAACATCATAGATTTTGCATTAGACATACAAATTTTAGATGTAATGTTTGCTCTGAGTAAATATGTTATCTTTTGTGCAAAATATATGACATTTATATTCAAAATATTCCTGGTCTTATAAGGAATCCAGCAATGTCAATTATATTATCCTAACTTTAATCTAAGGTATTATTTAATACTAAATGTTAAAATTTAGTTTTTTCACCCAACATCTCTTGAAGGGAGGATTGGTGGGGGGTGAGGGGGAGGGTTGGGACTGACCGTGCGGTTGGAAGAGGGGGGGGGAGGCAAGGTGGAGTACTTTGATTGACAGATAGTGTCGTGAAGAATATTTTTTTTTTTATTATTAACTGAAGATATTTGTTTTAGCTCATAAAATTCATATAAATTACCCGGCCAGAATATAATTTACATTGCTGGAATTCTTACAATTTGGTGATCATTTTGAATATAAACATCATAGATTTTGCATTAGACATACAAATTTTAGATATAATGTTTACTCTGAGTAAATATGTTATCTTTTGTGCAAAATATATGACATTTATATTCAAAATATTCCTGGTCTTACAAGGAATCCAGCAATGTCAATTGTATTATCCTAACTTTAGTTTGAGGTATTATTTATTAAAATTTAGTGGTTTTCCCCCCAAAATTTCTCAGAGGGAAGAGCCAGTGAGTGTAGTGTGAGAAGAGGGGGAGGGAGTTGAGTCCATTATTTGAATGGACATTAACTTGGCGACTGTATTTCTCTATTTCTCTTAAGTATTAATTGTGTGCATGTACCATCATAAAATTAAGATGTTATTTTTATTAGAACATAGGTATTGTGTCGGAAAAAGTGGAGTTTGGGGGTCTGGCCAGTTTCTATTGGAATTAATCCCATATGTTCTGTTGTTCACTTAGCGCGGTTTTATTGACCGCATTAAGCGGGGTACTACTGTATTATTATAAGTAAATATGTGCATTATTGGCTATCCTGGACACAAAGACAAGCAGAAAATGGCCGCTAAGTGCTGAGTGACCACAAGCTTCAGCTGTCAAAACAACACTGTCCCTTTATCTCCCTTAGCACTGCTGCCACAGGGAAGTTTCTAGAGTGTCAATATATAGTGTTTCTTACTTATTTTTTATTGTTTTATCATTTGAAAATGTTAAAGATTATTTTTGGAAAAGTTTTGATTTTCTCGTTTTCCCCCCGCGTGGGGGAACATGGCCAGCGGAAACCTAGCCCAGGCCATAAGGGTTAACGTGTCCTTACATAAAGCAAACTGAAAAGTACCTTCATCTTTTTAGGATAATGATACAAATTTGATTTAAGTTTAAATAATATCTTGATTATATGTAGATGATGCTGGTGGATGTCTTGTGAATCTGATCTTTTACACAACTCTCAGTGTGGACCCACTGCTTGCTTTTATTTTTTAGTCTTAAATGTTTGTTTTCTTTATTCCTCTTCCACTTTTTTGTGAGATGAATCAAATGATACAGAAACTTCAAATAAAGGAGGGAAATGGTTGGAAATAATGCAAGACAAGTGTACAAAACAAAGAGTCAAGGTCTATTTCACACACAGCTACTGTCCTGGCACAGGCCTCTCAACAACACTTGTAATTGCAGGTCTGTTGTACTCAACGGTATCCCTCTTCTCAACGGTAATATTCTTGATCGTCGCCACGCACATGAACGGCTGGAAGCTGGACAAGAAATATGGTGTAGTACTGATGTTCTGGTACCTCATCTTCATGGTGTTTGCCAGCCTCTATGAGCTCAATGTGTTTGGCTACCTTAACCCACCTGAGTGCCCAAGTTCTTACTGAGCTCCTTCACTGAAGTTTCAGGCTACTTTTATCAAAGCTTCTGCATAGTTGAAAGTCATTTGCATATGCTGTAATTTTTTGGAGGTGTTCCAGAAATGAAGGTTTTACTGTAGATTGTATTGAGGTATTATGTATTGCATGTAGTGTACTGTACAGTATTATCTTCACTTAATGTATGTTGTCATTTTCAACTTTGACACAGATTTACACTTGTAGACTTCATCATTATGAGTTTTCAGTTACATACATAATTGCTGTGAGAAGTTTAAGTTGAATTTCCGAAAATTCATTATGCTGATATATTAAGAGGTCTATATTTTAAATCAGAAAATGAATAATGAAATAGATTTATCATTTAGAAGTGTGTGCCAGTTCAAAGTCATTAAGAAAGACCTTGAAATTTAACTTGATATTCTAGCAGTAGATAAAAATTATGTTAATGTGTAGAGTCACTTTAGAATGGGATCCTGAACAGATTATGAAGAACATTATGATTTTGCCCCCTTGCAATGATAGTTTTGATATACCACAAGTGAATAGAAGTTTTGTATCATCACTGTTGCTTCCATCATAAAGAAAACCTTCTCTTTCCTGTTGAACATGGATGGATGCTACAAGCTTGAAACTTTGTACATGATAAAAGCTTTTTAGGCCCAACATAAGAGTGTCTTTCTAACTTTATGGAGGTTAATTAATAGAGTATATTTGTGGTTGCTTTTGCCTGCAGTTATAACAAAACTTAAGCTATTGATAAATGAAGATGTTGAGCTCATATTCATAATAATTCAAAGGTAGCGTTGAGGAGCTCAGTGTGAGAATATCTTTATAAGCTTTTGGAGGATTTATGAGTTCAAGATATCCTTTTGATTCATCTTATTTAGACTTCAGAGTTTGGGTATCAGTAAGCTTTGTGAAGGTTCATTATATTAACTTTCCCAGCTATTGCAAGTTTAATATAGAGAGACTTTTATTGTTATTGTTGTCTGGACTTTGTATTGATAAATGCCTGTGGGTTTTAGGTGTCAAGAGTTGCAAAATCTGTTTTTTAAGTTGCCTGGAGATATCTGATTAACATTTTTCACAGCAATTGTTACAAGCAGTAACAACTAACTTTGGGGTTCCAGAGTTTGTAGATAACTCAAGTTATTGAGTGTCGAGGGATATTATCCCTGTCAGTTGTTGTGACTCAAGAGTTAACACATAACTATATCTTAGTAAGGTTGAAGGGACACCTCTGTCAAACCTCGAAATTTAATTATTAAAGATAATTTAAGTTTTTGAGGGTTAAGGAACACTGCAGTCAGTGTCTGAAATGTCAGTGTGTGAATGATGCTCCATAATTATGTACCTACATGTTTTCTTGCTGGCTTCTGCTGAAGGGATACCAGGTACAGTTGTGTGTGTCATAATTCTTGTTCCTCCCACACAATAAAGTGTTGTGCATAATTTTCAGTGGTAGCTTTTTTTCATATTAGTTTTCAAATGTTCTTCCAAACTGTAGTGCATGAGCTGCTAATTTAGATGATGTTGAATAAATATAATCAAATCTTCAATGAAAATTGTCTTTGACAAGACAAATCTAAAGAATAGTTTTAAATGAGAATTATTTATCATACTGTAGTATATTATGAAGTCTTACATGATACTCTACAGTATTGTAATCCTTATGGCTGATATTCAGTGGGAGACATTGATTTATGTACAGCTGTTTGCTGGTTAAGAAAGAGCTTCCAAGTCTTTTTAAGTTCGATGAAGTGACTTTCGTAGACATTTAGAGCTGCTTACTTCATCTAGAGAATTATCATAAAACATTATTCATAACATGTTTTGACTTTTGAAGTTGCTAAAAATTTTACAAAAGTTCTACAAACATTTTATGTAGGTTAAAACTATCATTCATTGATCAAAAATTTTACATTTTCTCCTGTCATTGCAAGAGTTACGAAACACAGTTGGTCCATCATGCTGCCAGTCTTCAGAGGTCCGAGTCTTAAAAGTGGGTGGTGTATATGATGAATTCCTTGAATTTTTATTGTTGATATGACTTGCAGTTGTCTAAGTGTCTTCTGACCAAGGTGTGGAGGAGTGTGCAGGCATCCTGGGAGTTAGAAAATGTGACTGCATGGGAATTGACATTAGCTTAAGACTTTTGGATCATTTATGAGGTGATTGGAAGCAATGGTGTGAGCAGGTGGTAGGAATAATTACAATAATAATTACAACAATACAACTGGAACCATCTTACTGAGTAATGCCAAAATAATTTCATGAGTTAAGAATAATGTTGAGGTGCTCCACCAGATATGAAGTAATGGCTTGGTAATGCACTTATCACTTTAGGTGAATACTGATGTCTCCTTACTATATATGGTACAACATGAAGCATTTCTCTCTAGCAATTGGGTAAATGTTCTCATCGTTTTTCTTAAATAAGTTTTAGAAGTTCTTTGGGTGACATGATTGGAAGCGTCCAACTGGTAAATAGCTGAAATAATAATGGAGGTGCCCACTTGAGGTGTGGTCATTATGATAAAATTCATAGGTAGGTGTTTGGAACGATTTTGTGGGAAGTGACCAAAAGGATCTGCTTGAGGAATGATTAGAAAGATTTGTATCTTTTTATGTACATCTTAGTAGCGTTATCATTAGATACATTATAGTGGAAGGTATGTCTACATGTATAGATGTATAATTTACTGGTATACTGTACTTTGGTGTATTTATTTATTTTAAGTAAGATGAACATGGCATAGTCAGGCTTCCAAGCTGTTGTCATATTAGAGGAGAGTAATAAACAATTGATACCAGTCCACCCTTCCCAAATTATCACAGACCCACTGCAAAAACATGACACTGTACTGTGACAGCTAGTCACAGCTTTAGATCTTGAGAGTGAGTATGTGAGAGAGCAAAGCTGTTTATTGTTAAAGTCAGTCTGAGCCTCGGCCCAATATGTGTATGTTGAAGAAGTTTATGAAAGGTGGTAATGTAAGGGTAAAGCAGTAGGTGTGGATGTGGCATACAAGTACAGCTCCTCCCCGACTTACAACCACCCGCACTTACGACCTGCCTCAGTCGTACCAAAATTGGGTCAAATTACGCATTTTCAAGTCCCAAAATCAGTACACAGACAAAAAAAAATTTTGTAATTCACTTTAAAATGGCTGGCAAGCTTAAAAGTGAGTGTTTTGTGGTGCTGAGAAGAAAAAGAGACCCCCATTTTAGATTTCTATGTATTGTTTAAGCATTTCCGACTTACGACCATTTCAACTTACGACCTGGATGTCGGTCCCTAACTCCGTTGTAAGGCGGGGAGGAACTGTACAGTAGGTAGGTAGGACTGATTGGCTCGATATATGTAACTTTATTCATTTATTGAAACTCATTTACCTGCATACACTGTCCTAAGGGCAAAGCTGTATTGTACATGTAATCAAAATAATGTACAAAATGAATACTAAAATTTTATTCAAGTGCAAACTATTGCATGTTTACATTCAAATTAATCACCATCGTACAAGAATTCCAGCAATGTAAATTATATTCTTCCCGGCCATTTCTATAAAATTTTATAAGCAAAAAACAAAAACTCAATCTAAAGGAAATAAATAAACAAATAAATATGTCACTAGACCTTAGGCACTAACTGTCAAACATGTCACTGTCACCCATCCCTCCCTCCCTCCCTACACCCCACCATCCCAGCAAAGGTTTGGTGGTTTTCATTAGGCTTACAGTTTTTATCTTATATAATATCTCAGACTAAAGTTAGGAGAATATAATTTGCATTGCTGGAATCCTTGCAAGACAGAGATTAATTTGAATATAAGCGTCATATATTTTGCACGAGATAAAAATTTTAGTACATTTTATAATGTAGCGTTTTTCAACCGTATTTTGGGGTAAATTTACATAAATTTCTTCATTTATTTTCATTCATTTACAGTACATGCACACACCATACTAAAAGAAATAAATGACCTAAGTGCAAACCTGTAGTGTACATGTATAACAGTACTAAAATTTTTATGTCTAGTGCAAATTATAGCTTGTTTATATTCAAATTAATCACTATCGTATAAGAATTCCAGCAATGTAAATTATATTCTCCCATGTCACTTCTATGAAATTTTATAAGCAAAAAACAAAAATTCAATCTCAAGGACATAAATAAACAAATACTGTAAATACTTCACTAGACCTCTCGGTTCCAATTGTCAAACTGTCAAACGTATCACTTAACCTCCCGCCCTCCCTCCCCCCCATCTGCCCAGCCAGGGTTTTAGGCTTACAGTTTTTATCTTATATAATGTCTCAGACTAAAGTTAGGAGAATATAATTTGCATTGCTGGAATCCTTGCAAGACAGCCAATAATTGGAATATAAACATCACATATTTTGCACAAGAGATAAAAATTGATCACCTGTATCACATTACAGTTGTGATTTAAGAGTAAGAGTGTATTTGTACGTATATATATATATATATATATATATATATATATATATATATATATATATATATATATATATATATATATACAGTGGTCCCTAGGTTAGAGCACAATCCGTTCAGGGTTGCTCGTTAACGATTAACCGAAACCATTGTTTCAATGGGTTTTTGGGTAGTTGGTTCCAACTCACCAAAAATTGCCTAAATTCAACAAAAAAGGTAGAAAAGTACACTTACTTTGAGGTGTGTATGTAGAAGGCTCCTGGATGATGATGATGATGATGATGGGAATTAGAATGGGGGTGGAGGAGGAGAAGAGAAGGCTTTGGGGTGGAAGAGAAGTCACCCCATGGCACCATTTCACCCATAAAATTTTAGTTCTCTTGGTGTAATTCAAGATTATTTTCTTTAAATCAACACTGCACTGCATTATATATTGTCAATATGTAAAATAAATTTCAAAATGACCAATAATTTGCTTGGAAACACAGAAAAAAAGCATTTAGTTGAAGAGAGTTTCAAGCAAAATGTTACCTCCACTGAAAACAGAGAGAGACTAACGCCTGTCTGGTGTGTTAACAGGCTGGATGGCACGCCAGAAACTAGTTTCTTTCCCTTCAATTATGTTCAATAATTGTTAAAATGACTAAAAAAGTTAATATTAAACTTTTAAAATTATTGAATAGTATAAACTTCTTGATATTTACTAAAATAGTAAGGAATTTAAGCCCTAAAACCAATTACTGTATTGGCAGACTAATACTACAGCTGGTGGACCGCCAAATGCAAGCGAAAACATGTTGAAGTCGGCTCGTAAAAAACTCGTTAATCGAGGGATTGCTCGTTACCGAAGTTAAGAATCTTATGGAAGGTAAATCGTTAACCGAAATCTCGTTAACCGAGGGATCACTGTATATATATAGTGATTTAGGGGAATTTTAGGAGTGTTTCTAACTTTATGCATTTTGGCTTTACTTTGTATATACTTTTCTGTGAGCTGGAACCAATTACCCAATATCCCATTGAAACAATGGTTTCGGTTAACGAACGACTCTCTGGAACGAATTGAGTTCGTTAACCGAGGGACCACTGTATATATATATATATATATATATATATATATATATATATATATATATATATATATATATATATATATATATATATATATATATATATATATATATATATATATATATATATATATATATATATATATATATATATATATATATATATATACACACACACACACAGGTACTCCCCGACTTACGACCGACTCGACTTACGTCCACCTGCACTTACGACTTACCTCAGTCGTACCAAAATTTGGTCAAATTATGTATTTTTGAGTCCCAAAGTCAGTAAACAGACAAAATTTTCATCTGTAATTCATTTTAAAATGGCTGGCAAGCTTAAAAGTGAGTGTTTTGTGGTGCTCAGAAGAAAAAGAGACCCCCATTTTAGATTTTCTAGGTGTTATATATATATATAATTTTTTTTTATTTTTTTTTTTATTTTATTTTTTTATTTTTTTATTTATTTATTTATTTATTATTCTCTGGGTAGAGTATAACAGGTTTTTGAATTTTATAGTATTAGTTGCTTAAGGAAAGTATTTGGTAATACATGTACTGTACCATACAGTATAAGATAAAGATCTTGATCAACCACAGAAGGTTAATACCTGGGCTTCAACACATACTGTACACAGTCATTGGCTACTATAATATTATGTGTACAGCATTATATTTGATGTTTCTGATGAAAGTTTTGTCTTACTGTAAGAAAGATGATGAGAATATTAGATGGTATATAAATAATGAGGGGAAAAAGCTTTAGTTTGTTTTAAAATTTGATCCGGTTTCTTTAAATACGGTATTTAGAATTTAGTGCTGTGAGGCTTAAAATACACTCCAAACTTATTACTATGAAAAACTGGGCTCATAAGAGAATGTTTGTGTTGTATCTCATAAAGTGTTATGTTGAGGGAATGTGT